GCCATAGCAGGTAAAGCTTTGATCCTGGTGGCCGTCGCGTTGCTCATCTACGACGTGCTGGTGTTCCTGCTGGCGCCCACATCCAGCAGGAAAAAGTTGTTACTCACGCCATGGCTGACCAAAGTTTTTGCTGACGCTTGGGAGGCACAGAATTTCCACAGCGGCCCCTACGGCAGGTGAGTTCATTGTCCATTCAGTGTATGGATATTATATATATATATATATATATATATATATATATATATATATATATAATATATATATATATATGTATATATTATATATATATATATATATATATATATATATATATATATATATATATATATATATATATATATATATATATATATATATTTCTAATGATATTTTCCTTCTCAAAATCTTGTATTTGTCTGCGTGCATAATACATATAAACCATAACTCTCTCTCCAGTTAATCTATCCATCTCTTCTTTCACTTATTAATCACCCTATCGACCTATCAGGCCACCCATCAACTGCCAACCATTCACCATCCACTCAACTAAGCGTCTCTCACTGAACACATCCCCATCCAACTCCCTTACACCCAAGATCACTACTTACACCTCACCCTCGGCATTGAAATCTCCCCGCTTCGCCACCAGGTCCGAAGACGCTGTGGGTTCCGTCCTGCGCTCCCTGGCCGACACAGCCGCCAAGTACGAGAGCCGCTGGGAGAAAAGCCGCCTTCCGTAACTCTGCCAGACGGGAGGCAGCAAACACGTTTTGGAATTCGTTTGGAGAGAGAGGTTTAATTGCAGGTAAAGAAGGGGGATAGACACATTTAAGTCATCTTCAGTATTGCTGGCTAGAACGTAATCTGCTCGTAAAATATGTCTGTAAAAACACATGCACATACATAAACACACTCGCAAACATATGTTTACACATATATAATGTATAGGCACACACACACACATATATGTACACACACACATATACATATTTTGTATGTATATGCATACACTCGTCTATGCATATATACATATATCCAAACATATACATTGTATACACAGTATATATATACTTTAGTATATACATATGTGTTTGTATGTGCTTGTGTACATAAACGTTAAGCAGCTGTGAGATAAACATCTGCAGAAACCAAATGACGCTTGCAGTAAAAAATAAATAAAAATAATAAATAAAAACAGCCCTATGAATGAAATGTGTGTTTCCTCTTGTATTGAAAGTAGGTATGTGATATTTTGTATATATGATATTTAAAGCCACCGATTGTATTACTAAGATATATGTAATTAATTATTTATTCAAATAAAGTTATATTCACATACACGGCATATAATAAACCAAGTGTTTCTTTTATGAGAACGACAAAAGACTATTGCTATATGTAGGCATGAATATTCGTAAATGATAAACACACACACACATATACACACATCTATCTATATATATTTACACACACACACACACACACACACACACATACATACACACATACACATAAATACATGTATATATCTATACCTATATCTATAAATATGTATGTATATGTCTATATATAAATAAATATATATATATATATATATATATATATATATATATATATATATATATGTATACAAATGTACATGCATACATATATATGTATATGTATATATATATATATATATATATATATATATATATATATATATATATATATTAATATATATAGATTTATATATATATATATATATATATATATATATATATATATATATATACATATATATATATATTATATATATATATATATATATATATATATATATATATATTAATAGATATAGATTTATATATATATATACATATATATATATATATATATATATATATATATATATATATATATATACATATATATATATATATATATATATATATATATATATATACATACATATATACATATATATTCGTATATATATATATATATATATATATATATATATATATATATATATATACATACATATATATATATATATATATATATATATATATATATATATATATATATATATTATATATATATATATATGTGTGTGTGTGTGTGTGTGTGTGTGTGTGTGTGTGTGTGTGTGTGTGTGTGTGTATAAATAAACACACACACACACACACACACACACACACACACACACACACACACATACATACATATATAATATATATATATATATATATATATATATATATATATATATATATATATATATATAATCCTGCTACTACTCGCCACACCGTTCCAGAAGCAAGAAGGAGTCCATTGTTCCAAGACTCATTTAGCTATTTGCCATAAAAGTGAGGAGGACTTTTTTGACACTAATTACGCAGGGTGAAACTTCGGCCCATCACTGTGATCCAGAAACTAAGATCAATCAGTCAAAGCACCTTACTCACCAACCCCCAGAAAGGGACGTGTCACACCCTCGACAGGGAAGGTCGTGGTGGAAGCAACATGGATTTTTTCTCCAAAAGCTACTACAATTATGCTTCACTGCCACATAAATTTCGGGAGGCGATTAAAATCAAGAATTGTGAAAATGTTGACCAAAGGTGTCTGCCTCCTACACGACAACACCCCTGTTCACAACTCTCACCTTGGCCAGATTTAAGCGCAGCCCTATGGCTATCACATCCTTTTTCTTCCTCTTTATTCTCTTGACCTTGCACCATCTGAGTTTCACCTCTTTCCGTCCATGAAGTCATTTTTGAAGGGCAAACGTTTCCAAGATGATGAGGCACTGATTTCTGAAGACACTTCATGGCCTCAAACGCAACTTGCGGACTGAGAAGCATATGAGAAAAGGAGCTATTTAAACTGTAAGCACAGATGAAATATGGAATAAACACAATATTCGATTTAGATATAAATTTCAAAATCGCTCAATGGATGTCCCCTCCATTTGGATACCCGGGCCGTTGTCCCTTCACCCCCCCCCCCATCTGCTGGCCACTGCATGCATGTGTATTTCTCTGTGTATCTATATCTGTGGCCTTTTCTTTCCGTGGACATGTCAATCTCTCTATCTCTGTGTACGCATGCGTTTATGAATCCATATATCTAAATATACATTTATGTATGGAAATCTGTGCCGAGACAAATTTTACACAAAGACATGGACAGACAGAAGGACAGAGAGAGAAAAGAAAAGAGTAATAAGAACTAAAAACAGAATTCCAATAACTGTTTCCTCTCGTTTCTCTCACCCTCCCCCTCCCCCCACCCCAACCACCACCCATCAAAAAAAGAGAGAGAAAAAAAAACATTGCTTGCTATGACACACTCACGGATGTGAACGAACACACTCACGGATGTGAACGAACACTCACTACGCATTCTACATCCTCCTTTCAGATCCTCCTTTCGGATCCGCTGATGAGGCAAATTACACCCCCACCCCACCCCACCTCCCCCACCCCACCCCCACCTCCCCACCACCACCGCCATCTTTTCCTTCTCTCTGGTTCACACACTGCTATCGGCTACATGTTATTTTCCTTTTCAGTGGTAATAGTAATAATGATGACAAAGAAAGCGATGACAGTGATGATAATAACAAAATCTACACTGATAATAATGATAATAATGATAATGGTAATGCTAATGGTAATAATAATAACAATGATGATAATAATAATGATGATGACAAGTATCTATAATCATCCCAAAACTTCTACTCCTACTAATAACAACAATATCAATATGATTACAGTAATAATAATGAAATGGAAGATAATGATAGCAATAACAGAAATAAGGATGATTATCATAATAACAATGATAATCATAATAATAATATTACTTATAATAATAATAATAATAGAAATGATGATAATAATGATAGTAAAAAAATATAACAATCTCTACACTGATGATTATAATGATATTAATAATGTTGATGATATTGATAACAACAACAGTGATGATGATGATAATGATAAAGATTGCAGTAAAAATAATAGTGATAATGATAATGATTATATTACTAATATTATTAATGCTAATAACAATAATAGAAAAAAATATCTCTAATAATGATAATATTAATGATGAGATTAATAATGATGATAATGATAATGATATTAGTAATGATAATAACAGTAAAAATAATAATGACGATATTGATAATAATAATGATAATGTTAATAATGATAATGATGATAATAATAATAATAATAATAGTGTTAGTAATAACAATGACAATAACTATTATGATGATAGTAATAATGATTATGATAGTAATAGTACTAATAACGATAGTAAAAAACACAATTATAATGAGAAGAAATATAATAATAAAAACAACAATGATAGTTATTATGATTCTGATAACGATAATGATAATTATGATAATGATAATGATGATTATATTAATGATATTAATAATGATGGAGTTAGTGAGCGATAATAATGATAGTAATAGTAATGGTAATGATAATAGTAATAATAATAATAGTAATAATAATAATGATAATAATGATAATTATGATAATAATAATAAGGATAAAATGAAAATGCTAATGATAACACTAACAAAAATATTAACAATGATAATACCAGTAACGATAATAAGATAATGTCTGAAATAATGATAATGATAATAATGATAATCAAAATGATAATAATATCAATGTATAATCAAATAAAGATATATACTTATAATCACAATAGCAATAATGACGATGATGATGATAATAACAAATAATAACAATAACAACAGTAATAATAATGATGATGATGATGATGATGATAATGATAAAGATAATAAGGATGAAAATATTGAAGATAAAAACTGTGATTATACTACTACAGTGGTAATAATGATGATAAAGATAATGATAATAATAATAATAATAATGAGAAAAAATCAGAGAAAAAAAGAAAATGACATTCAGACAGACAGAGAGGAAGAAAGCGACCAGAAGATATTAAGGCAAAGTAAAGTAATGAAAATAAAAACAACAAAA